CCCTGGTCTCTCCGGGCCACCCAGACCCAGGCTGGCCAGGAGAGGACAGTCCCTTGCCCGTGTCCCTGCAGGCAGAGAGTCACCCTCCACCCCGCAGCACTTGCTCTGGATTCCGGGAGCCCCCGCCACCTGATGTCCCATTTCCACATGGCCCCAGAAACCATGGAGAACACAGAAGGGTGAGGGCCGAGGTCCCACAGACATAAGACAGAGCCCCCGTGTCTGTGGGCGGTGGAGGTGGCCTCCATCAAATGGAGATTTCGCTCTCGCTGTTCAGACGCATGTTTTCTGACCTCAATCAGAAGCCCGACACGGAGAAGGACCCACCAGAACGCCTCCCCCAACTGTCTGGGGCATCGATCCCCTTTTCGCAGAGGAGAAACTGGCCAAGGCCTCTCATTAGCCGGAGGCACAGGGGGGATTCAGACCGGGCCTCCCGGCTCCACGACTGAGAAACACCAGGAGTTGCTGTTTACCTGGTGCTCACCGAGGACCAGGCACGGCTCTGTGAGCTTTACACACGACGACTGCCTTCATCTGTCCAAGATGCGGGTGAGGGACAGGCTGCTACTACCTGACGAGCTGAGAAACCGAAATGAAACACAGGGCAGCTGAGACACTTGTCCCAGGACACGCAGCCGACAAGAGGCAGAGCAAGAATCAGAACCCGGCGATCTCACTCCAGGGGCCACCACTGCATGAACTCCACCCCCACATGACGCTGTCCCCTCCCCTCAACACGTACAAGCAGAGCTCCTGAGTTGCAGGACAGACCCGTCCCTGGGAAGGAGCCACGGGCTGGCCATGTTTTATGAGCGCAATGGTTCTGGTCCCCACAAACAAAGAGCTAAAGGCCCAGGAGGCTGAGGAAGGTGAGGGCTGGGAAGGCCCCTCTGTTTGCCCTCCCTGTTCTCCCCCCAGGCCAAGGGAGCCTGGGTGACGGTGTCGTTCCCTGCCTGCACCCTGTCCAGGGCCCCGAAGAGGCAGGAGCTCCTCAGTGTGGCTTGGAAACTGTGCTGCGCACCAGGGGAGCCACTGCCCGCCCCTCTGAGCCCCCAATGCCCTGGCCTGGAATCACTTGCTTTGTTCTCTGACCCCTCCCCCCCCCGCACTAGACTGTGGGTTCCTTGAGGACAGGGACAATGACTCTCATTTCTGTCTCTCCGGTACCCAGTGCGGTCCTCAGCACACGGTACGGACTCAAGAGATGATGGAATGCTGGGTGGGTGGGTGAGTGGATGGGCGGGTGAGTGGATGGGTGGATGGGTGGGTGAATACATGGAATGGGTGGGTGAGTGGGTGGATGAAAGAATGACTAAATAAAAGAACAAACAATAGGATCTCACACGTAATAACTGGAGGCCACTGGGCTTAGGGCTCTACTTCAATCTGGAGTTTCCTGGAGCTCAACTACCTGGGAGTCCCAGCTTTGCCCCCGGTATCTAGTCAGCCCCAACCATTTTCTAGACACACGTTTCCCCAACTTGGCCGAGAACCTCTGTGTAATCAGCATCTGTGTCCTTCACCAGGCCGCAGCGTAGGTGACGTGGTATCCAAGTCCATGTCTGGCCTAACAATTATGTCCTCGGCGCCTTTCCCTGGGCCTAGGCCATGGGAGGCCTCGGTGAACACTTGTTAAGTGAGTGACAGACAAATGAACAAAAGACCCAGGGAATTTTAAACACAGAGATTTCTAGGTCCTGGCCGAGATCTGCTGGTTCGGAGCCTCTGAGCGTGAAACTCAAGTGCATGTTTTGTTCAAAAGCTTCCTGGCCAGTCCAGTAATTGGCCTGGTCTGGGAAACGCTAGCTTGTGGGGAGGAGGAGTCCGCAGCTACTGGAGGCTATGACCACGGGTGAAGGCGTCTCAGAGCAGGGTCTCACAGAGCCGTCACCAACTCTGCCCGGTCACCACTTTCCCCGGGAACTTTTTCTGGCTTAAAGGAGAAGCCTAACAGCATTTTTTGTAGCGTGGCCCTTGACCTACTGACCTCGGAACTGCCTGAGTGAGAGGAAGCCTTTTTTAAAAAGCAGATTCGAAGGTCCCTCCCCAGCCTATAAACTTAAGAGTCTCTGGGGGGCAGGAGGCTCCCAGAATCTGCATCCTTAACAGGCAGGCCGGGCCACCGTGGCACACACGAGTGGGTTCCCCGGGGCACTCAGACCTCCTGCTGTGTCTGGCGCCTGCCGCACACCTCACCTCTGATGAGAGAGAAAAGCTCCTGATGGGACGGACTCCAGGAAACCCGGCAACCGAGGCAAGAGGCCAAAATGCAGCAAAGGTGCCCACTCTTTGGAACCTGGGCCTTGAAGGGAACCAACGAGTCATGAGGCCCAGCCTCTCGTCTTACAGATGAGAAAACCAGGGCCCAGAGGGGCCTGTGTCTGGCCCAAAGTCATATAAGAGTGAGTGCCAGAGCCACACTCGAAGCCAGATGGATGTTATGTCACCTACACGACAGCCAGGCTCACCCCGCGGGCCCAGGCTACCTGCAGGGGAAGGTCTCCCCAACCTCATGTTCTCTGAACCCGCTCCCAGGTGAGTTGGGGTCCCTGGGAAGAGCCTCCGGCAGGGCAGCAGCTGTCAGCCCAGGAGGTCTCAGCCAGTCCTGCTGCCCCAGAAAGTCACAGTGATTCTAATCATGGAAGACCCAGGCTGGCTCCACCACAGACAGCGACGAGGCAACTCAGAGTCCAGGGAAGAGTGGGCACCGAGTCTGAGCAGTAGACCTCAGGGACAGGGCGGGGAGGGGGTCTGAGTGTCAAAGCTCAGTGGAGAATGCCTCCCCCGAACTCCACATTCAGCCCTGGCTTGTGTGGCTCAGTGGACCGAGTGCTGGCCTGCAAACCAAAGGGTCTCTGGTTTGATTCCCAGTCACAGTACACGCCTGGGTTGCAAGCCAGGTCCCTAGGAAGGGGTGAGCGAGAGACAACCACACATTGATGTTTCTCTCCATCTCTCCCTCCCTTCCCCTCTCTCTCAAAATAAATAAATAAAAATATTCAATTAAAAAACAAAAAAGGAAACTTCACAATCAGTCCAGTGTCTAAATTTAACATGAGTTTAAGCACACCAGAAGAATCACAACACCCGTGCTTCTCAAGTCACCTCTTTGGGGGACACTTGTGTTCTGAAACATGCTGGCAGGTGCTCACTGAGAAAAAGGTGTTCAGAGGTCGAAGACTCTGGGAGAATCAGGGTAGCACTCTCCCTCCTGGAGATGAACGACTCTGGGCAGGTTCAAGGTACTGCAAAGTCCTGCAACTTCAGGATCTGCTTAGTCTGTACTTTGCTGTGTATAATGTGCACTTTTTGCCCAAATTTTGAGGGAAAAATAAGGATGCACATTATACATAGGTATAATGATTATGTACCATGGGTACCATAATCCCAGGTATAATGCATACAAAAACGTGGGTGCACATTATCCACAGCAAAATACGGTAAATCACGACACGGATGAAGAAAGTTGGAGACTAAGAGGGGTCATGTACCCAAAGCCATGCACCAGGAAGCGGGGATGGCGGGACTTGAGCGAGACAGCGTGCCTGGAGTGCGTCCTGGGGGCCCATGTGCTCAGGACTCAGTGAGATGGTTCCTCCCGCTTATTTTTACTGTTGCTCTTCTGTTCTGACGGCAGGGAGAGGGGCCGAGGGGCGAGGCTGAGGATCCAGCTTCTCAAGTCTCCTTCTGTGCCCGGACTGGCAGCAGAACCAGGAAGAGAAGATTTGTGACCTGGGGCCAGTCGCCACCCCTCTCCAGATGGAGATGTCTCCATACATAAAATTAGGACTTTGGGATCAAAATTAGATGATCCTAGAAGGCCCTTCCAGCGCTAAATGAGTCTCCAACTCCATCGTCCCATCCTCAGCTTTTATTTCTCTCCCCACCAGTCACAGCCTCTCCGGGTCCCGAGTCCCCTCCCTGTAAGCAGCTGAGGCCTGCACTCCAGCCACTGTCCCTTCGCCATCCCTGCCATCATTGTCCCTTCACCATCCTCACTGGAACCCAGGTGCATGGTCCGCAATCAGTCACTCTTCCCAAGGCCCTGGGGGGATGGAAAGAGCAGAGGCCAGGGGTCTGGGATGCTGGAGTGAGTGCTCGCCCCCAGTCTGCACCAAGTGGCTCCAGGAAGACAATCAAAGGGCTTTAGGCCTGTTGGAGTTTCAAGGCTTGTGATAAAACTAAAGGGGTGGGACTAAATCACATGTCCCCAAGTGGGGAAGGCTGAATGCTGGGGCCCTGAAAGATTCTATCAAGTAATTTGCCAAGGAAAGGCTCAGTGGAACAAAGGGTTTCCAGAAAAGTCTCCCGAGTCAGATAGATTGGGCTTCCGGTTCTGCCATTTACTAGCTGTGTGACTTCAGGCAAATTACTCACCCTCTCTGTTCCTCGGCTGCTATGTCTGTTAAATGAAGATAATAACCATATATACCTCACAAGATCACCACAAAGAATTCAAAGAAGATAATGCATGCTATGCGGTACACTCTAGGCCGTCGGTAAACACGGTTGTTTTTCAGTCCTTTGGGATCACATTTCCTATCCGCCACACTTCACAGAGGGGACAACCAAGACTGCAAAGAGGCAAGAGAGCTGCCCGAAGTGAAGGGGCTCCTCAGGGACAGGTCTCTGGGAATGGCTGTCCCTCTCTCCTGGCCCTGAAAATGAGGCCTCTGCCTGCCATCTGCAAAACGCAGCCGCTGTGCCCAGCGAAGACGGCCTCCCTCACTGGCCTCACATGAAGCAGGTCCAGGATCAAATACTGGCCCAGCCCCAGGAAGTTTTCTAATCACTCACTGGGGAGGCAGCCGAGGCCCAGGAAAATGCTCCCACAACCCACAGGGCTCTGGCTCCACGGAGGGCCCACTCCCACTTCCCAGCGGCAATGCCCGTTCTTCGAGACTGCCAGAGGGCAGCAGCCGAAACCACAAGAGGACCGAGGATGGCGGGACGGTCACCTGGAACCTCCAGGGAGCCCCGCCCCCGGGGTTACTCACCACCTGCTTCCACCCTTGAGACTTTGGCCGCTTCACTCGGGGGACCTGTCCCAGCCTGGATGCCCTGTTATGCTGTGTGACCTCAAGCAAGCTGCTTAACCTCTCTGAGTCTCAGGAACCTTTTTAGAAAAGAGAAATGAGCAGAGTTTAGGAACTAAGGAAGCAGCAAGGTTTGCAGAATGATCTAGGAATCAGAGCCTCTAAAGGTCTCCCTGAGGTTTCCTGTCCCTTCCAACCCTGTCTCCCCCACGAACAAAACCTTCTGATCTCGCTCCTCCTTATCCGCAAACACTTAATGGGCTTCCTGAGGTCCTCGAGATAAAGAGGTCCTAATGAGCAGTTCAGAGCCCTTCAGCAGCATCCCCCACGGCTCCATCCCGGTAGGATTCCTCACCCGAAGCCTTTGCAATGCTCCCCTCTCCCTGAACAGACTGCCTCTTGGCTGCTTTGCTCAGACACTCCCCCAAGGAGCGTCTCTTCCCCCCTCTATGCCTGGGTCAGGCGCTTTGTGTGGCTAACTGTCTGCCTCCCCCAGCAGAAAGAGGGGAAGCACCTTTCACCCATCTCCAGCTCCTCACCTGGCACCGGCTCCATAAAGAAATCTGTGCTGGATAAATATGTGTTGAGAAGAGAGGAATGCAAGGACAGATAAACAAAAACAAATTACCCCGCGAGCTTCGGTTTCCTCCCTGCCAACCAGGAATGTTGTGGGAGAAGTAGCTGAACAGCTGGGTGGGACCCACACCCCCCTTCTGTAGCCAGAATGCCGGCTGGGTGGCCTCTCCCCTCTGTAGGGTGAGGACAGCAGCAGCACCTACACCCTGTAGTGAGGACACAGTGAGCGGGTCCCTCCGGAGTGCTTGGCGCAGTGCCTGGCACGTGAAGGTCATTTCCTTGCACTTCACGTCAAGGAAGAATAGTGGCCGTCTGACCTAGCCCGGCGGGGGTGGCTTCTGCTGCAGGGAACCGAGTTCTCCCGACACCAAGCTCCCTGCTGGCTCGGGCGCCCATCACGTCCACCAGCAGCAGCCCAGTACCCTGGAGACCGGGGCCCCGCCACGCCACCTCAGACTCGCCGCTGACCCTACCGGGCCCCTCCTCTCTAGAAAGGAGGGCTATGAAGCACCTGTTTCCGTCATTTGGGGGACCTGGAAATCTATCCAATGGGACAGTCCCCAACCTCCCCTCACGTGTACTCTAAATCTACCCCAACTTCTCCCACCTCCTAAGAAGCCCACCACCCGCACCATAGAGCTGGGCACTTCCTCCTCTCCCCTCTGCCTCAACACCCAGCTCCTGTAGCTGCCCCTTTGGAACAGTCTTGGCCACCAGCACAAACCATTCTCCCAGGTGCCCAACCCTGCTTCACGGCCGAGTCTCAGCAGTGGTCCACACACACTGTCTTCTTTCTGCTTCTTCACCTCCCATCCCCGAGACCCTCTCCCACTTCGGACCGGAGCCCCAGTGCCCCTCCAAAACCATCCTTACAGCCTCCGTGGGGCCCACATCTCCGTCTCAGCTGACTCGGGCTCTCACGGGCCTGCAGCCCTGCTGACCACTAGCTCTTTTCTGAAGCAGAACCCCGTGTGGGCTGCCCAGCACCCCGTTTCACACCCCTCCCGTGGCTGCTCCTCCTCCTCCACCTGACCTCTGGGCGGTACGCCCGCCCCATCTCCGTGCTAACCACGCCTGAGATTGAATCTCAGCCCGGAGGCCCCCAGTTATTCCCGTCACATCCCATCAGGCTGTTTCCTTCGCAGGACTTACTGTGCGACACTGTGAATGCAAAGAGACAACACAGTAGACCCGACAAGCTTGGGGACCGCATGGCAGGGCTGGCCCACTCAGCGAACGGAAGTCACCACACCAGACGGTCTGGTCAGAGATCCCTAACTGGGCAGGTACAAAGCACAAAGTCAGATTCCAGGCCTAGCGCTTCCTCAGCAAGAAATCAACCTTTACCTGAAGCGAACACTGTCCTTGGTTCTTACGCATCTAGAATAACATACCCGTGGGATGGTAAAGTGGTTTGCCTTTCCAGAACCCGGGGGGCACAGCCACAACACCAGAGCACGAGACCACCAGACTCCTCCTTGTCATCTTGTGGCCGGCACACCGCCTGCATGCGCTGCAGATGTCAAACGTCCGCTCTCCCACACCCACCAGCGTAAAAGCAGTGGGTGCTTTAATCTCTGTTTCTCCACTTCCCTCTTAATCCAGTCCTAGAGGTTGCCCCTCCTCGCCTTCTTCCACTCCCCCAATCTACCACCCGTGGATTCCTTGTGACCTTGGCTCTTTCTTGCCTTTGACCTCCACCGCACAGAAAGAGCTACGAGCCATTCTCCCGAGCATGTTCTCAGTCCGTTGGGAGCCTGCATCCTCAAAATCTTGGCTCAAATTAAACTCTTAAAAACTTTCCTGTAGGTTGCAATTCTGTCATCAATGACATGCAGTTACTTTACAATCCTGAGTGATCTGTTCGGTTTTTGTCCCCCACCCCTGCCATCGCATAAGACCCACAGGGCAGGGCCACTGCCGGTCGGCCACTCGCCGACATCACGCAGCTGATGACGCCGCGCCCTTCCAGGAGCCAGGCACTGCCCAGAGCGGCCCCCTGGCACTTCCTCACCAAATCCACACAACAGCCCCCAGCTGCTGGTCCTATCCCCATTTGACAGAGGAGGAAACTGAGGCACAGAGGGGCCAAGTGAGTTGTCCAAGGTCCCACACAGAAGAGGCCCAGGAAGGAGCAGGGACCCACCTACCCCCGGGAAGCCCAACACAGGCCTGGCCCCTTGTGGACCCTAAACAGACACTTGCCACATGGTCAAATCAATCACCAAATCGATGAATGACATGCACCTCAATATTGAAAGTGTGAAAAAAAAAATATTGAAAGTGTGGTGGTACAGAGGGCAAGCTTCATTTTCTGCTCTCCGTATTTTCCAAGTTTTCTTCAAAGGCCATGTAGCGCATACGTAATTTTAAATTATAACAATAAATCTTTATTTCTAAAAGGAAAGCAGAGGTTTGGGGTCATGTCTTAGTCCAGGGATATTTTTCTTCTATTTCAGAGATTGTCATTCCTGTACTTCATTTAAACCATTGTTTTTCTGGAGAAATGGAATAACAAGCCTGCATTTTTAAAGCTCTCTCCAAGTCTGTCCACTTCAAACAATGGAAGGGGCGGTAACGAGGGTGGCTCCCCGCTGAGTGCTCAGGGCCAGAGGCAGGGAGGCAGGGCGCATGCCCATCGGCAGCCGCTAGACTGGACGGGGATTTCTGTAGAGGCCGGGAGGCCGGGCTCTCCAAAAGGAGGGGTCCAGAGCCACAAATGCTGCCTTGCCTACCAATGTGGGCAGGGGCCCCCCGAAACTCCGCACTGCCCTGAACTGCCAGTGCCCCCGCAAAGAAGGCAGTGGTGAGACCTGGGCCAAGACCACCCTTGTGACAGACAGGCTGGTGGGCAGATGAACCCCTGGGCCTGGGCCTGGGCAGGGGGCTCAGCGCCTGGCTTGAACCACAGGGGGCCCAACCTGTGCTTCTGGCCAAATGGTCAACTGTCATTCCCTGCTTCCCACCCCGCGTGGCCACTGCTGCCAGGGGACATCAAAGGCAAGGGTGGCAGCCAGGCCAGGTCCTGGAAAGGGTGGCAGTGCCCTAGGAGGCAGGGCTGGGGGCTGGGGCTCTAGACTAAACAGAACAAGGTTAACCGGTGCTGCCTCCACCCCTCAGAGGTGCGTGACCTAGACAAGCAAGGTGACTGACCTGGGCCTCCGCCTCACGGGAGCAAACTGGAAATGATGACATGACGCACCTGTCGGGGTGGCTGAGGACTGAACAAGCTCCCTCGGGCCCCACGCCCGCCAGCGTGCCTGCTCCCTAAGTAAGAGCCATTAGCACAGCCCTCTCCATAAATATGAGCATTATTATTAGCGCTTTCCTGAGAGCAGGCCCAGGGGCCCATTTGGGCACCGGGGTTCTATTCTAGGCCTTGACCCTAAACCCCAGGGCAATGAAAACACACAGGTCAATGTCAAACAAAGAAAGGCAAAGTGGGTTGAGATTACAGACCAGTGGTGAATCATCTCTCCCTCCCCTCCTCAAAGGGAAAAATGGAATAAAGGAAGGAAAATAGAAATTTAGAAGATTCACTACCTACTTTGAAACCTACCACATACAAACATAGTGACCTCGAAGAAGTCGCTCAACCTAAGACTCAGTTTCCTCATCTGTAAGATGGGATCACAGTGCCTGTCTCCAGGATCAGTATGGGAACGAAATGATTGACGCATGAAAATTGTCTGGCATGTCCAGGCATAAAGTAAACATGAGTCATCTTTGAAGAAAGAAGCTCCCAGCCCTGGCTGGTGCGGCTCAGTGGACTGAGTGCTGGCCTGGGAACCAAAGGGTCACTGGTTCAACTCCCTGTCGAGGCCCATGCCTGGGTTTTGGGCCAGGTCCCCTGTTGGGAGTGTGAGAGGCAATCAATTAATGTTTCTCTCCCTCTCTTTCTCCCTCCTTTCCCCTCTTTCTAAAAGTAAATTAAAACAAAGAAGAAGCTCCCAATTGTCAAATGAAAGGCAGAAGTAACCGAGAACACTAGAGAACCTCCATACCAGTTACTTTTATCTTTGGCTTTTCTGATAATATCGGCAGCAGACCCCTTTCCTATCCTGTTCTGGTCGGTCTGATATTAAAAAGGAAATCTTTTTTGAGAATCCACCTGCCACAGATGCCAGGGCTGAAATAGTAGAAAGCTTGGGAGAATAACAAGAAATTACCAAAAAAATCTTAAAGGCCTGCAGGGGAGAGAGAGCGTGACCCACATAACACATTGCCTCCAGCAGGCGAGGTGCGGCAAGACTCCTCTGCCGGTACCCAGAGGATGCTGTACCCTTTGACCTGAGGAAGGCTCAGCACCTGCCCTGACCCCCAAGCCAGGCTGAACTCCCCAACAGCTCATGCCTCTGAGCCTTTGCACATGCTGTTCCCTGGATCCAGACCCTTCCCCTCTCTCCCCCACCCCATTCTCCTGCTCACACCTCCCCTGTACATACCGGTACACACGTCCATCCCCCAGAGCTCACACATGGGACAAGAACTATGGCTCTTAGCTGTCCACTCCGCAGTCCAGCTCCACTCTCCTACACTGTCCCTGAACCTCTATGGACAGGTCACGCCCACTGTGGCCTAAGCCTCCTCCAGACAGCGCTCACCACCCGGGCCCCGGACATCACACCTCCACCAGCTGTGATTGATCTGACTTGCCCACAGTCAGTCCTCGGACACCACTGCCACTTTGCTGCCCAGATGCCCCAGCCCCCTGAGTATGGTTATTCAATCAACAGCAAAGAGGACTCTCAATTAACTGGATCTCATCCTCATCCCATTTCCCCTCTTTGTGGTGCATGGCAAACCAATAACCCAGATTCCAAAGGGAGAGGTCATGTGAGGGCGATTCACAGCCCCTCACCCCACAGCAGGCCCAGCCCAGCAGCCTCCCCTCTCGCTCTGTACCTGCGTGGACCCTAGACCAGCCCTGCGTGGTGCCCCGCCAGAACACCAGCTCTGGGGGTGGGGGCTGTGCCTGAGTCGCTCACTGCTGGATCCCCATGATGAACTGATAAATGTTTCACAACTGGCTGGGGTCGGGGTTGCAGGGAAGGGACTGGTTTGCAGTGCCCAACAATTTCTGTGGTGTAAATACTCTCACTAAAAGTCGATTTCAAGCTACCAAGGCAACACCACCAAACACACAGTTGGGAGGAAATGTGTAGTAGCCACAGTCATATAGTCATGTGTTGTTTAACGATGGGGGTACGTTCTGGCAAAAACATCATGAGGCTACCGCATCCCTGTGCAAACACCACAGAGGCCCTCGCACAGACCTGGGTGGTCCGGCCCCCTGCACACCTGGCCGTAAGGTGCAGCCGCTGCTCCCAGGCTACAAGCCTGTACAACACGTTACCGCTACTGCGCTGACTACTACTGCAGGCAACCGTAACAGTGGTATTTGTGTGTCCAAACATACCTAAACGTAGCAGAGGTACAGTAGAATATGGTACAGGTGATTTTTCCAATGGAGCACCTGTACAGGGCACGTACTGTGAATGGAGCCTGCAGGCCCAGAAGCTGCCCCGGGGAGTCCGTGGGTGAGTGGTGCATGAGTGTGAAGCCCCAGGCGTCACTGGACACCCTGGAGACTCTGTAACGCTGCCCCACAAGCCGGCCTCCCGCTTCCTCCTGACAGGGTCAGAGGCAGAACCTCAAAGCTGCTCCCTGAACAGGGAGGCAGGCTGGACTGACTAGGGACACCGAGGAGACACTGGCTGGTAGGACGTGGAGACCACGTCAGTGGCCATCAGGACAGAGTGAGGGGGCGGCCTGAGGGTCCGCGGGGACAGGACACTAAGACAGAAGGAGAGCAGCACAGGGGACCTCGTGGCCCTGTGGTGTGGCGGCTGCCTGTCGGAGCAGTGAACAGGTCAAGGAACTTGGTGGCGTGTTCAGAAAAAAGGGGGGTTAACGTGGAAAGAGTGTAGAGCTGAGGACTCGCTATTTCGACTTTGGAATTTGGTTTTGGCTCCATCGACCCTGTCTGGCATAAAAGGCTCTCTCCAGTGTTGAACTGATGGAAGAAATAAAACGATGCATTACACCATTACAACCGAAATATGTCCGAGTGTAGGGACAGGCCACAGAAAGCTTCAGAAAGCTTTTACTAAAGTGGCAGTGACACCTGGGGACCTGTGTCCTTGCACAGGGTCTCAGGTCCCCAGCAGGGGACTTACAGCCACGGTCTCTGAGGACACGGGCCAGGGCTGGGGGCCTGGAGCGCCCTCCGCACACGCCGTGCCGAGGGACAGGCTCCCCTGTGCCGAGCGGGTCGGTGCCCAGCAGCCTGGACTGTGGCCCTGTGGCTGCGCCCTGGGAACAGAGGTGCCCTGAGCCAGAGGGGGTCTCCTGCCCAGGCCCACAGCCCCCGCCAGAGAGGAAAGAACCCTTCCGAACCACGAACCCTCCCATCTCCCACAGTTCCGTTATCTCTTCGGACGGCCGCTGTGTATGCGGTCTGTCTGTTGTTGACGGAAAGCTGGTTACGAGGCACAGAAGAAGGACCCCAAAAACCTGGAGTTTACTTATAAAAATTGTGTACTGATTCTTACATGTTTAAACTTCAGCCACCCTCAACAGCATCCACTTGATGGAACTTCCCACTGCTCAGAGCAGTTTGTGAAGCGGTCAATTTTGATGCCTTTTAGCGCTTCTGCCATTTTTTGTTTCAGCTCTTCTACATCGGCAAAACGTTTCCCTTTGAGGACTTTTTTCATCTTGGGAAACTAAAAGAGTTGCTCAGAGCAAGATGAGATGACTAAGGAGGGTGGAGCATGGGGTGATGCCATTTTTTTATCAAAATCTGCTGAACGCTCAGTGTGCTATGGGCAGGGCCGCCCATAAGTCACCCTCATGAAATGAGCAAATGTGTGGAAAGAGTCTTAAAAAACTCA